TTTATATTCAAAATGTCTTTAGGCTCTGATGTTGTAGTCTTAAGGTATTCAAGCACAGTACTACCCACTCAAAGGTAACGGTAGCTGAAAATTAAACAAAGATGTAAAATTATAAAGATGTAACTCTCTTTTTATTCTTTCCTTTTAAAAGAAAATTTGTGTGACACCTCAAACAAAGATGACGAAGAAAATGATGAAGGCACCTCTCTTTCTTGGCGGGAAAAAATGATGGTCATTTGTCAGCTGCTGCCTCATATGTTACCAATGTTTATTACATGTTTCTCTGAGTACATTATCGTTCAAGCCGTCATTACAACCCTGGCATTTCCCAGCTCTCCTTTCAAACCTCGTGACCATTATGAGTATTACATTGTTGTATTCGTGGTGGGTGAGATGGTGGGGAGGTCTTACCTTTTAGTGCTGTCCTACATTAAAAGAGACTGGGGAGAGAAAGCTAAATTTCCATACCTTTGGGTTCTGTGTCTGATCGAAGTCATGGATCTTTTGTTTTTGGTGTTGGCTGCATGGTACCGTTTTTTACCGAGTGTATGGATCGTTTTGCTTCTTGTGTTTTTCTGCAGCTTGACTGCGGGAGCTTTTTATGTTAACGTAGTGATAATTTTTAGAAATTGTCTCCAACAAAAGTACAAGGAGTATGCCATGGGATACATCGACCTACCTTTAACGGGAGGAATTTTAACAGCCGCCGTGTTGGGCCTGTACGTTGAACCCCTGTTGCGTGAACATTGCATGATCCTCATGGATAACACAGACTTCTGCTTTACAAGAACACAGTCTTAAGATCGATTTTCTTCATATTGCTTTTTTAAACATGATTGAAATCTCTTCAAGCCTCTGAAGCTATATTTATGGTGCTCTTGTGTAGTTTAGGTATGAGTCAATTAATTCCTTTTGATACTCTCTAGAATATTCATGTCTCTACGGTTATTACAATGCTAAGTGTTATATTTGCTCAAGACTTCTGGCTCTTTAATCCGCCTAAGGTTCACATGTGTGGCTGTATTCTGATTGCAGAGGTTTATGTCTTATGTCAAGCCTTAAGTCCCTCAAATTGTTTGTTGCACGGTCGTGTATGCGACTATCTCGGATAAAGCACGAGTGGGGTGTCAACTGCTAAGTTTAAAAAAACTCATATGAGTGAGAATAGAAGTGCACAGCATTTTGATTATGGTAGAGAGAAGAACGAAAGCAAAGAAGTTTTTGTGATCTAAGACTATTGGTGCCTTTCGCATAACGAGGTTGCTACTCGTGATGTCCCCTAACGTCCCAACAAAAGTTTCGTGCAGTCACCTATGAACCAATAAAATAAATTGTAACCCAAAATCAATCGATAAGTTGCCTAGCGGTTTTTACTTGCGCTCTGAAGTCAGCCGCGACGGGGTTGGGGCCGAAAGAAGGGAGAATGGAATGCTTTTTATTAGTTTGGTCCATTCGGTTTTCTGTGACTGGAGAGAAATAAATTGAAACGGCCTTTTCAACTTAAGAAAGGGAACACTCTTCCCGTTTTAACAAGAACTACCGGAAAATCACGGCACCATTTTATTCGTTCCACTCGCTGCATATGATGAAGTAAGGAGTATTTGCCTTTTAGCTGAACATGATTTTTTCTTTTAATTTTTGTTGTTTTTTTTAATCAAACAACGTTATGGTGAACTTTAGGCATTAGACACACGCTTTTACTGTTTCATTTCGATTGGGAAAAAATAACTTATGATAACCTATGATAGGTTCGTTCCTTGTAAAAGGATTTATCACTACAAAATGAACACTTAGCTAGCTGTGTGTCAATTATTTCAAGATCCAGATAATGGAGAAAATTTTAAATCTCTCACAACTTCAATCTACATTAATTTCACAAATGGACATAATAAAAATTATTTAGAAATGCATTCCTGGTGAATTCAGATGTGACAAGTTTCTCCACTGGACTGAGAATTCTTGATGAATGTTACGCGTAAATCTTCTAACTAGCCGCAATAAGGTTGTATTATCATAAGTTAAAGAAACAGCTTCAGGATAAAGATAGTTCAGTTTAACTCTCCTTAAAAGAGGGTGCAAGACTAACATTAGGGAGAAATTAAATGAACCGAATGATCAAACCAAAAATATTTTAAAATAATTCATGCAAATAATTTTCTCCTTTTAAACAAGAATGAACCGAATGATCAAACCGAAAAAATTTTGAAATAATTGATGCAAATAATTTTCCTTTTGAGCAAGTTTGTAGAGATGATCGAATATCACAAAGGTGCAGAGTCTAGAAGGATGTTTAAGGACCAACTGCAAATGCACAACTCGATAAATTTAGACGAAACTTTTTTGTGTCTTCTAATTGAGACAAAGTTGTTTAAAAACAATAGCAATGCAAATAAATGGCTGCACGAAGATCTGGTTTTCTCAACTGAGTTGATAATTTGAATCGCCTCAACGAAGGGCTAACGATTGACACGCCAGGTTTAGAACCTCTCTTGACGAGTATACATTATAAACTTAGTTAATAACGCCAAATTATTTTGCGATACCTCACCACTGACGAAGCACCACAGTTTCTTCACAAACGTACCTCCTTTTTACATGCAGTTTACATGAGTTTTAACTCAAACCACGTTTTTACGCAAGCAGTGGGCCTCAGGCATTCTCTCTAGCATCAGCACCAGTAAAAAGAAGAAAGAAAGGAAACAAAGTAATTCTGTCTGGGCTTGTGTATTTACACAAATCCCCGCGCGCGGCACGCAAGGAATTCGATGTCGATTATTTACGTACCTTGTTTACGTGACACAAGATAACAGCCAGTTGAAAACCTTACTTAAAATCGTGCAGGGAACTTTTAGTCCAAATCCTTGAGTCGAGAAAGAAACGAACCATGTTTTCTCGGATTAGCCCCTAATGGTAAGTGGCATCGAAGAAGTCGGCGCAAAAGCAGAGTGACTCTTATTGACAAACGGCAGCATTCGAAGGTAAAACAGTTAACGTTGTTTGACTTGGTCCGTAAAAACTGTAGAGAAGGTTGAGCTTATCCAGTTTAGGGTCAGTTCAGAGTATGAAAATTAGTTTTTTCGACTTCTTTTCGAGGTTCTCAAAATTTATTCTCTTCTCGATACAGCTGTTTCATTGGCTCAAAAAAGTTCATCTTTCTTTGCTCGATAATTTCAAGAAGTTTTGCTTCAGAACATAAAACAATTCAACTTATTCAATTCATATGCAAAGAAGGTTGGACGACCTTGGACTATTCATGCTCTGAGGAAACAAAGTTTCCTCAGAGCATGAATTAATTTCCTTCTGCTCTCCAGGTTTACTGCAATTCCTACAAACTCGGAATAGTTGATCGCAAAATCAAACTGGGGTTTCAGTCCTTATAGGAAGCTACCATTTTTTTTTCGTTCGAAAGATACATTTCATAACATTTTTTCGGGAGTTTTGAGGTCGACGTCTAAACCTAAACAAAGATTTTGCAAATTGTATGTGTTTACGTGTCCTTTGTTAGTCCCATATACGAAGAAAAGGTTTGCGTTTACAAACCTGACAGATGATCAAGTGAATAGAACCTTTCTATTGTGAAATTGCAGTAGATTTATTAGCTTCCCCAGGCGATGAAGAAACTGCGAATAATCTAGGAGACGGGTCAACGCTAGAGAAGTTGAAGAAAAATTACCGTGGGTTTTCGTACTGGGTGATACCGAGGCAGGTGGTTAAAATTCACAGGTGTCTGTCGATTCGATCGCATTTTCAACCAAAGGTTATTGCCCTCTATTTAAAATACAGGGCTGGACTTATTTTACTTTAAGGATGATCTTACACACGAGTGTCTAGGAGTGAGCTATTATATTCAGTGGCCAAATTATAAACAAAGAACCATCAACAATCCAAACTGCGGGTGACCACTTGGTCGGAAATTAGTGATTGTATACATTGGAAATGAAAGTCGGATCGGATCGATATACCGCGACTAGTTGCGATCGGACTTTGTGGTTTTACAGGCACGTTCCGATTTGCCACCTTTCCTCTCATGTTCCACGCTAATCCGTAGGGCAAATACTATTCAAAAACGTTTCAAACTGATGTTAATTTGCATAAGCTAGTCCACACTCAATATTGACATGTGTTTCATTTTCGCCAGGTTCAGATGTTTTATCCGCGGTTAACTAATAGAGAAGGAAACTCCTTGTAGCGAAGACACGATAACTTTGAGAGAAGATATGAAACATTCCAGACACACCAACAGCATAATTTAGTGGCAAAAAGGCTTTCTACGTGTCATCCGGGGGAAACGTATCATTCTGTCCCTCGCCGTAAGGAGAAATTTATAATGGAGGACAAAACCGAAGAAAAACATGCGACCCTTATGGATTTATTCCCTGCGAACTCCGACACAGATTCATCACGAGAAAAGCCAGGAACGATTTGTGCTTTCTTTGTTTTCGGCTTCTTGATCTACGCAACCTACTCATTGATAATATCAGGCGCTCAAGACATCCTGGCTGGGACCTTTGTGCCAACATCAGCCGTGCTGGTTGCCAATGTCGGGCCTTATTTTATCATAACTGTTGTAGCACCATACTTCATTCAAAAGATCGCATATTTCCCGCGCATACTGGCCATATTTTTCCTTATGGTTACCGGACTTACAATGGTAGTTTCCGCTAAACGCGTTGGGGTGAGGTTGTTGGGAATTTCTCTCTCCTCGTTTGGATTTGGTTTGGGAGAATTATCTTTTATTGCAATGACGTCCTTCTATCATGGAACAGCTGTTAGCGCCTTCTCAGCTGGTACAGGAACTGGTATATCAATGGCACCGCTCTATTACACAGGTATCTCTCTAAAAAATAACTTTTTATCTTCGTCACCGTGTGCAATGCAACCCTTCCCTAAGGCGATGAGTAAACACACGGTAGAAACACATTCCAAAGCAGCCTGACAATCTATCTATTTTAACCGACTAAATCAACATTTGAAAATACTGAATATGATCCTGTGCCTGAGATGTCAATTTAATTATGAAGAAGTATGTACACTTATTTGATGGCTATCAGATCAAAATGAAAATTTCATGTGCTAGTTAGTTTACTCTTTTGATGAGTAGTGTGCTCTGCGATTTCACTAAAATTTCTTTGGTCCGTGTTATGGCTGTTTTACTTAAAGGACAGATACACCCTAAAAACGTCAATTCACGCTCACTTAGCTGTTCAGGCTAGCTGATTTCTTACGCGCAGTGCTTGGTGACCCTTCTCTTTCCAAAGTTGATTTAAGAATCAATGTTTTATCATTCCCAAATCTCTCATTGTTATCTGATAAAAAGCAGCAAGCAGTGACTAAGGAGTTTTGAACAACTTTAAAACTTGGATTGTCATTTTGCCGAGATACTATGGCGAGTCAACGAAACTCTAGATAAAATTTGCCGCCATACGAGTTACGATTTTCTCGAGTTGCTCCTTAATATTGTCGTGTGCTGTTAGCTACAAAATGTATAAATGACTGTGGTTTTATGAAAATCATATATGTGAATTGCGGTTAAAAAAAAGAATATGAAAGCGATCTTCGCAGTAATGAACACTTCTCAAGATGTAGTAAAAATAAGACCGGAAAAAAAATTCAGGCCTGTGTAAAGTTATTTGAGACTTCGAAAGCTCACGGCGACTGCAACATCGTGCTTGTGAGGTTTTCGTTATCACATTAAAGGCTTCTTAGGGCTGTAGAGAAATGGCCAATTCAGCTAAGGCTCGATAAGCTTAAGTCGGGTGCATGAGGTCGAAGCTTTCTGTAAACTTTGTGGAATGCGAGGAAGACTTTTTTTACAGCTAGCTCACCCAGTTGTAGATGGAGCTTAAAGGAATAAAGACTGGCTGAACCGCTGAAGGAAACTTTGTTGCTTTTTTTTCTTTTAATTTTACGTTTTCCCTTTTTTCCTTGTAGAAAAAAATTAAATGTCTAATTTCGTGAACTTGATAAGACACTTCGCTTTCTTTTGCTTGAAGATATCAACGTGGGGTATTGAACTTCTGATAAAATATGTTTAATAAAACTTATTCATCCAACGCGAGTACCCTAGCCCACTGAAAATTTTCTCTTTCGCTCTCTTTTTTTACAGCTATGACAACGTGGGCTTGCGTTTCTCCTTCCGTAACCATCTCCATTATGGCTGTCAGTTTGGTTTTCTTGCTGATTTTCTACGCTCTGATGGAGAGAAAGCATACCCAGGATGGTCAAGCTGCGGCAAAGGGAATCACCCGCAAAGACATTCAATATTCACCAATTGAGGAAGAAGAACAAGACATAAACCCTGGTGATGATCTTTTAACATGGAAGGAAAAATGCACAGCAATCAAAAAAGTTTGGCCGATTATCGCTTCCATAATCAGCGCGTGGATCGCTGAATATTTGATAATTCAATCGGTCGTTACTACAATAGCGTTTCCGAGCGCTCCTTTTCCACCTCGGGACCATTATCAATATTATATCTTCGTCTTCTTGTTCGGAGAACTGTTCGGTAGATCCTACTTAATCTTTCTCTCCTATCTTCTGCCGAACTTGGCCCAAAAGCTTACAGTGCGTAGAATATGGTTCCTCTCAGCGGCGGAGATTTCTCTTTTAGTTTTCTTTTTGCTTGCAGCCTGGTACCGCTTTTTGACTGATGTTACGATAGTGTTAATTCTCTCCTTCATCGGAGGTATCATTATAGGTATCATGTATGTGAACATGTTATCAGTTTATTCCGAGATCGAGGACCCGAGATCCCGAGAATTCGTTCTCGGTTACGCTTCAGCTGCAACCGGCGCTGGTGCGATCACCGCTGGCTTGTTAGGATTATTAATTGAGCCTTGGCTGCGCAGTCATTGTTTAATAGTGGCCGTTCATAACAGCTTTTGCTTCACTCGATTGCAGGGTGGTGGAGTTTGTAAATGATGAGATTTCACCACAACTTCAAGAAAAACAATTTCTTTGTAGGGATCCTCCTATCGAGTTAGAATTAAATTTATGGATACATTCTTCTAGTTTACTTTTACGAGTCTTGAAAGGAACACCCTTTCTTGTTCGAGTATAGCGAATTTATGAAGAATGTTGCTATGCCTTTCCATAAACGTGAGGTATATATTAAAATGTTAATACTGTTTCTTTCTTGTTACGTGAAAAAGAGGAGGCTTGAACTTACAAACAAGCTAAAAGTGTATGATTTTGCTTTTTAATGCATGTTTATCGTGTAAATACAGCCACGTGTCTCTGAATAATGAGCGGCAATATTAGACCCGGGTTTGATCCTGCCTGGTACATGGAAATGATTACATAATTGGTGTAAGCTATAGGTAACAATGATTTACTGATCGAACAAAATAAACGTCTTGTGATGATATCCACCCCATAGTATGTTCGAAGTTTAAATGAGGAGTAGTTTAATTTTTAGTGTTACAGGGGTGGGGAGGGTAGGGCAGGAAAACTCTTGGACTTTTTTTTAATATCCTTCAATTTTTCATTTCTTGAAAATGAGCTCGACCTGTTGTCAAAACGTTTCTTAACCAGATAATTATATCAAAAGGTCTGGATAGAAGCAGATATGTAACGAATTTAGGAAAATGAACGACACTTTTAAAATTAAAAAACTTGTTTGGACAGTTCTTCTGTCATCTTCAGTTCTGAATAATACAAAGTACAAAGCTGAATTTAAAGTGTGTAACAAAATGCTGAATGGACAAAACAAACAACAGTAACAGAACAATGTACGCATTTACAAGGAAGGTTTTAAATTAACGTAATAAGGTTGATGATTAGGTGTAGGTTTCTCCCTTTGAATGTGGATAGCTTCTTTGATTTTAAGTCAAAAGGTTGTGGAAACGTGATCTAGGATGTTAAAACACTCATCAGAACAAAGAGCGCGACATTGCGGAGAATTTTGTAGATGTCTGAAAATGTGAGAGGTCATGTTAATTTATAACTTTCCTTGTAAATGCATACATTCTTCTGTTTCTACAATCAGCATTTTGTTACACACTTTAAATTTAATTTGTATTTTGTATTATTCACAACTGAAGATGACAGAAGAACTGTCGCAACGTGTTTTTTAATTTTAAAAGTGTAGTTAATTTTCTTAAAAAATTATATCAAAAGACCGCAAAGCTTTCAAGTTCCTTAACATTTGGTGAAACGTGCTAAAATGTCTTGTCACTAAGTACAAATGAGAGATGTGTGGAATTTTTATTCATAATAATAATATAATTATTCATTTTATATACATACATATCTAGTAGTAATATCATTACTAAAAATGAAAATGCCTCACAGCTCTTAATTTTCCTTAGAAACAAACCTTCTTAGCACGCTTTACAATATATTAAGGAGCCCTGAAAACTTTGCGATTTTTCGATATAATTATAATATCTGACTTAAGAAATTTTGACACTATATAAATATCATTTTAAAGAAATGAAAAAAAATTGGATGCGTTCTTGTTGCGTAGAAAGATACTAAAAAGGGTGAAATACCTTTTGTGTAAATATATGTGTAAAGTTTTCTTTTAACTTGGAAATTATCATCTTATAAGGTTCTAAATTCATTCTTTGAATACTATATCTTTAGTTACTCATGTTTTTTATGACTCTAGAAATATCAGAAATTTCCCCAAAAGCACCACGTGGTTTTCATCGCGGAATCATAGGAAACTTTGCAAATGAAAGAAATTTACCACAACACCCCATGATTCATATCGGTCGCTGTAATTTTCTTTGGGCCGCTAACTAACTGGTGGACTTTTACCACCTGCTTAAGAGTCATTAGTTTTGCTTTTCTCGATCAAAACGTCACCGATTATCAAAGGACCTTGGAAAGCTAAAGCATTTTGAGATGTGGATCTGATATTCCACTTGTTTTCGGTCAGAAAATCTGAACTACATTCGGTCGTGCTTGATTCTCAGCTGTGTGGTTAGAAGACAGGAAAAGCCTAAATCATCTGCTAATCTACCTTACATACAACGGTGGTCAAGAACTAACCCTGTTTCCTGTTTCTTTCTGGCCACCAGGTCGTATAACGTAAGCGAACAGAATGTGTCCTTGAACAATCAAATTTTTATTGACGACCTTAGCTGCCAGATGACGTGAGTAAAAGGACTTTTCTATCCTCTTTTGGTTCCTTTCACGGTGAAAATTACACGGGATAGAAACTGATATTCTATCAAAATTTCACAACTACCACCAGAAGGAAAGGAAAATAACCCATTGGGATAGGATCCTTTCAGGTCGCGAGTCATAATGGAAAAGGGTATGGAGATTGCAGAGGACAGGAATCTGGAAAAGGACATTAAAGAAGAAAACAGTGAGGAAGGCGACGAAAGCAAAGATGTAATCAAAACTGCAAAAGCAAAAAGGGAGCCAATGCGAAATCTCCTGGCCTTCTACGCTTTCGGTGCGTTGATCTACACGGTATATTCTGTCATCATTTCAGGCGCACAAGACATTCTGGCGGGTACCTTCATTCCAACTGCCGCAGTGTTGGTGACAAATGTTGGTCCGTATTTTCTTGTGACAATGATCGCGCCCTATTTTATACACAAAATGCCGTACGTCGTGCGAATAGTGGCAATTTATGCATTTTTTACAGCAGGTCTGTTTATCATTGTTTACGCTAAAGAAGTCTATCTGAAGTTAGTTGGAATATGTACGACCTCCCTCGGAGCCGGAATTGGGGAAGTATCGTTTTTTACATTGACTGCCTATTACGAGAAGGTTTCTGTTGCTGCTTATTCAGCGGGTACAGGTTCTGGATTTATCTTGGGACCTCTTTATTATACTGGTAAGTGAACAGGCATTCCACCAATATTTACATAATAAGGTCTCCGGTGAAATATCGGTGCATTATCGCAAACATAGAAGTATTTCAGAGCGTGAAAGATGATAAAAAATTAGAGGTCTGTTTTCGCTTAAAAAGAGATGTAAAACTCTAAGAACACCGCGTCTTTTGTGAGGTATTCATTGCCATGAAATGCTGATCACCTGATTTCAGTTCAGCGAACTGGTCGGTATTTTTTTCGGAGCCTGGCACTTTTCAGACCTCTGGAGTCTAAAATGTTCTGTTGTGGCTCCAGTCGATAAATAGAGTAACTTAACCTCAATTTTAATGGGAATAAAATTTCCACAAGCCGTCAATCTCTGTTCAGACTGACTCCAGTGAGATCGCAGCGATACTCTGATAATACATCTGTTTATTGAAATGAGAACAGTTTTTCTAGGGACGTGCGCTAACATAGTAATTTAAGCAGCATTTCAGGGTTTTGTAACTTGGTTTGAAAATTACTAGAGTTTACGTGCTATTTTAGTTATTGTTGAGCAATATTGGCAATATGTTGTACAACATTTACCAGCGCTGCTCAAACGAACATTCAGTTATAGAATTTTAGAAGACATGTCATCTCTTCGTGACTTCGTAAAATTGTACGATTATTCAAAAAGTGACCTGATCAACAACATTTAAGTCTTGACAGGAAATTTTAACAGCTTTGGTCAAAATAATACTGTCATTGGTGTTTTAAAAGGATAACCCGGCTATGAAGAAAGCGGTGGCTCATTTATCCAGAAAACTGACGAGTATGAATAGATATCTTTCATTTTGTATATCTGAGCCTAAGCCGACGTTAAGGCCGCGACAGATTGAATATTTATTCACAATTGGGTGGTGCTCAAAAAAATAAATTCGGTAAATTAGGATAGTTTTATACGAGAAGTAAAGCTCATCGTATTTGTAAATGTGGGTGCAACAAGGATGTTTACTTTGGGTACCAGCTTTGTTTTAAAATGGCGTCAAACGCTACCTGTTATCTAATTCAGTATAACGTAAATATTTCAAACAGATTTCTGAAAAGAAAAATTTGACAAGTTGAATTAACGTCAACATCCGACATCAATTAGATTCACGCTCGTTTACCCTTTGTTGTACAGGTTCTGTTTATTGTAGGCTGTCGGGGAAAAAGCTGAGCAAATCACCTCTTTGGGAGGTTCATTTTTTTACAAAAGCAAAGAATATAGTCAGTCGTAGAAGTAGACTACCCTCAGAAGAAAACAATTAGTAGATCATTACCCAGTCACTTCGTCGAAGTACAACCAGACACCACAACCTTAGCTTAGCCTCTTAGGAACGACATTAAAAACAGCTCAAAATGAAGTGATTTACAGAATGTCTTGAGTATAATAGCTTGACTATAATTATCTCATATTCATTCACACTTCTGAATAAGGAAAAACAAATCGTGTCGCTAATCTTGATATTTTGGATTAAAAAGGATTTTGTCTTAAAATCTCAATCACCTCTGATGCTATCTTAACACATGCCAATCTTTTTAATTGTCCGAATGTTTTCGATGCACTACATTGTTATTGCACCCTTTTCGATCGGTCAATGGGGTTCTTTCAGACATCAGAATTACAGTCGGAAGTGCTCGTGCTGTGTTGTTGCCTGTTTCCGATTGCTCGGTGCCTTCTCTCTGACATCGTGTCTAATTCGTGGGTGCTCAAATAGAAAGTTTTCATCTGTTTATCTGACTCATGTTCCTTTGTAGTGAGCCTCTCGTGTTTCTTTTTTCCAAGATCGTGCCAGACTCGTTAGTATTCGTTCTTGGTAGTTTCTAGTTTCTGATTGGTCTGTCACCTCTAACCTCCACCTGGTCCGACTCTAGGTTCTCGTGTTCGTTAGTTTCGTTAATTTCTTTTGGCTTCAAGTGAGTTTGAAATTCTGTCATATTTGAAATAGTGCCACTCGCCTGAGAGAATACTTGATTTTCTTCCAATGCTCTAAGGGCGTTATCATACACTCCATAAAACATATCTTGAAGAGGGTCAAAAGAAGCCATGGGTTCATTCTTTTGCTTAGTGATGTTCTGTGATTGGTTCTGAAATCTAACGCCTTGATCTTCTTCGTCACAATCAGACGCAGAACTAAGACAAAATACGACTTGGTTGGGTGAAATTCGCGCAATTTCACGAAAATAAATGGACAGGCGCTGGAAAGCATTTTAAAGACTTAAACCCTCTGATTCATAATCTCCCCTTCTTTTTTCAGGTTTGACAACATGGAGTTGTGTATCACCGAACAATGCAATGCTGATAATGGCTGGGTCACCTCTTCTCTATCTAATTTTCTATGCCATAATGGAGAAAAAACATTCTGTGGCGGCTGCCACAGCCGGGGAATTAAATGAATCGGAGTCACAGGCAAACATGGTCACATGGAAAGAAAAACTTTCTACAGCTGGAAAGATCCTCCCATTAGTTGGATCTCTGTTCATAGCTTACGTCAGCGAATACGTTATCATTCAATCTGTTATCACTACTATGGCATTTCCAAGCGCCCCTTTTCCGCCTAGAGTTCATTATAGATACTATATTTTTATATTTTTGAGCGGTGAATTTATTGCTAGGTCATACCTTGCTGTGATCGCATCCCTGAAGCCAAGCCTTGTCAATGTGTTCGCGATTAGACGTATATGGATTTTATCATTAGTCTTAGTGGCTCAATTAGTGTTTTTTACTCTAGCAGCGTGGTATAGATTCTTACACGACGTGTGGATCGTTTTCATTCTAATTTTTATCGCTGGTCTTGGCGCGGGTGCAGCTTTTACAAACGCTTTTGTTGTGGTGTCAGAGACTGACCCTAGATTTAAGGAATTTGCCATGGGATTTGCCACCATAGGAATGGGGGCCGGAACTTTTTGTGCTGGGGTAGTGGGACTACTTATGGAACCAGTGATTCGCGATCACTGTTTACTTGTATCAGACGTAGGAGACTATTGCTTTACGAGACCTTTTGGCGGATGGAATCAAACCTTAAGTTGCTGACACAAGCTGCATATCGATGGTATGAGTTAAACGTCCGAGTGAGCCTAGTCATGAAAAGGACTGATGTTGGTAATATTGCCTGGCTGCCTGACTCTTCGTCAAACAAGAGAAAAGCCATTGTCAGAAGACCCCCAAAAAGTGACTCAAGTAACTGTGATGACGACTTGCGCTCAGGTTGTTGCGATGAGTTGTCAGTCATCGTAACGGACACCAGAAGACCAACCCTCACCAGGCAGATCAACCCTCGCCTGGATTGTCAGATTACATAATCGTTCCTTAGTTCTGAGTTTAAACTATTTTCTTTTAATCTAGGCTTATGAGACTTATTGATTATGATGATCTATTCTTGAAACTAGCCTCGCCTGTTTTTTGAATCTCATGTGTTTTATCCCAAATTTCACATTTTTCGTTGCTGAATTTAGAAAAAAAATTGAATTGTCTTTAGCGTATTTACCTAGCAGTTATATGCAGGCACTCCAGCTGCTGTTTTCTCCTTTAACCAGTAGAAAAAATTCTCCGATAATCGGCAGATTATTTGGCTGCTTTCCTCGCAGTGAAAAAGCTGTCTCGTTTTTGTTTTGGAGATTAGGAATATTACATTTTTACATTTACCTGCCGGGGCGACTGACACGCTGTTCAGTTGAACAACTATTTATAATTTAACTTAATTTCTAATGAAAAAGGGGATATTTGACGCACAAATACTGCCGACACTGACTGTTTGTTTAAATTTGCCACCTTAGTCTTTTTATTTTAGAATTACTTTTGATATTACTAGGGATATCTTAGACCTGGATGTGTATTAGAATCGTTAATGCCGAATATAAGGGTGTTTTTGTTACAACGGTCAGAAAAATAAATTAAAAAAAGACGACGAAAAAAAAAAAAAAAGCAACTGGCTCGAGAAGCTTAGAGATAAAATAAAGATGTTAGGAGCACCGTATCACATGATCCCTCTTCGGTTGACTCAATGCAACTAAACAACGAAGGTTCAGTTATATTCGGGTATCAGAACGACCGTGGGGGACTTGAACTGAATGGTCCGGCATCTTAACCCTTTATCTCCCTCCCCTTTAACTGAATGACCAAGACAGAATTTCTCCCTACAATATTAATACAATATCAACCAGATAAGTGATGAGAATAAAAAAAAAATGTTAATTTGGGAATAATTAGTTGATCCAACACTAAATTCTCTGAACTGGCATTATAAGAATTGTATGTTTGACAGTAAGGAGAATTACAAATTTGATCTGGGAGTTAAAGGGTTAATACAAAAATAGCCTCATCTATGAGATTTTTTATTATGATTTATCAAGAGTAGAATTTTGTCTCTTTTATTCAAATTCGTTCTGTATCGCTGTTTTAAATTGTTAGAGTGTGTACTCAGGGGGTAATAATCGTTTTATGTTTGTTGCAGTAATTTTCGTTGATGTACCGCTTTGTGACTCGATATCAGTTCGTAAAGCTTGCATGTTCAGTTGTGACTGGAACCCATGTAATGACCTCAGTGTATAATAAACAAGTTTTTCAAATGGTGTGTAATGTCTTCATCCTTGTTATATTGATCATAGAAAGTTTAATCGTCTGTTTCTGTTTGCAGAGTCACTATCAATCGCTGATAGTAACTTAGTTTTCAATTGCTCATTACTATTCTTCGTCGTAAAACACTGAAAGCAAGTTCATTTGACTATAATTATGGAGGAAAAAAGGTTTGGACGTAACCCTTTACACCCTTACATCAGTATCCATATTCTCCAAACTGTTCTCTCTACATTTCCTGTGGAACTTACTAGGAGAATTTGTCTACAATCAAGAGTTTCCTAAGTTGAGTTTGCCTCCATTTCCTTTATTCTCATGACCTAAGTGTTTGATTCAGGTGTGATACCATTGGGAGAAATTAGATGCTGGTCACTCTTAGGGGTCACAGAGTTAGACTGCTTTTCGCACATGTCTAGGTGTGCACTTCGTATGGGTCTGCTTAGTGTGGGTTTCACCATATTCCTATCTGTAGATATTGGTCCCCTCCCCCCCATAGATTTGCTGTTATATTGATCCTTCATCCATAGCCCCTGTCATGCTTCTTGATTGCACGTATCTGCGCTCACTTTGCTTCCGTAAGCTCCATTGAAGAATAATGGAAGCTTATATGGATGATTTCTTTAAGGGGGCATAAGCATGAGCCCTACCGTGAATTCAAAGAAGATTAAAAAAGACAATTTGATATTGACCGATAGAAGTAGCAGCTGTTTTAGAAAAAAATGTACTTCGAGGCTCCTTTACATCATTGTCATGCTGTCAAAGAACCGAATCCCGTCATAACAAAAACGTTGAGATAAATTCAGATCCCTCTCATAGAGCTTGACTTACCATCGTTTTCCTCTCAGTTTTATCCAATGCTTCAAGCTTATTACGCACTTAACAATTTAGAATGACAGTTATTTACATATTTCTCTTTCTCAAACAAGTGGCTTAGAGAAGTACTTAACACTCTTTATTCATTGTGTTTGCTTGAAACGAACCCAGCCAATAGAAACGTGAAATGATTAATTAACTTCTTAAAATTATGAAACAGCCATTGATTACGTTATTAGCATATCAAAGAACTTGACATTTGTTTGAGAACACGATGCTTAATTGTAAATAGAGACCGCACTGGGGTAGTGAAATGTCAAGTAACAGTGAAGTTGTTTGTGCTTGTTTTAACATTGTACACTTCAAAGTAGATGCTTCAAGAAATATTCAACATATTGATAAAAAAGGTTAAACCGTTTTAGTGTGTATCTCAATGGGCATTACCTAAAATTGAGAATCCTATGTAAAATGAAGTAGGAAAGGGAATATTTGAATTCTACGTCCAAACGCCGTTGTCAGGTAAGTTGTGATGCAATAGAATATGCAACTTTTTTAAACAAATGTTTGTCAGGTTTGGTTTGAAGAAAATTAAAAGTCTGTTAGGAAAGGAAGACAGTCATTTAGTGGATTATAGTATGCACGGCTTCTACTGAGTATGGTGCGGCTTACGTTTAAGGGGTTTAATTGAGAAAGAGTTGCCAGTAAACAGCTTCTATCCGGATATTATTTATATGTTTACATAGACAATAGCGTTCTTCATCATCGTGCTTCAAGTTTAATGTGTCTGAATTAACATCATTCCGAGGAAAAGCACTTACTTCTGTGAGAAAATTCATTATCCATTATGATAATGTTTATTGAACACTTCACTCCTATAATAATAATATTTTCGTGTAGAACAAACATGGTTTTTTTCTAAGGCAGGGAGTCAAAATTGTTTAAGCGGAGGTCAGATCAACGATGACTGCGTATGTATACATATAGTAAATCACGAAGTTCTATAGAGGAACATCAACTTCATTGAATTTTTTTAGAGCAGAAGTATCCAGACGATTTCGCATTTTATATCTGACTGATTCTTCTTTTGAAATCAACCACAAAGTTGCTAGTGCGAAGAATGGAGACGATAAAAATTTGACGTCTATCGCTGTCTCATAACTGTATGATATCAATCTAAAAGGCTGACTCATATATTCATGTGCATTTCTCTCTAAATTACTGTATTTCTTTTCTTTAGAGAGAGAGAGATCACGTTGTCGCAAGCTGTCTTGATTCAGGTATTTCATTATATATGCTATCATTTTGATATTAATATTATTTTTATAAGAAATCTCGATAGAATCTCTCGATACTTGTTAAACGAGGAAATATATCTTTTATGGTTGTATAATTTATGGTTGTATAATGGACTTTATAGAGAAAATTGATACTCAGTGTGGGTGATAGGCTGTTTCGTTACCTTTGGCTGGCTTAACTGTTGCACCGTATTCCATCTGTTTTGATTACTATGAATGATTGTTGTTGTTCTGCACATCTAATTTATTCATGAAATGATTCCAGATTTTCACGGCCATCGGTTAATCTGGCCAAATTTATGTTTCATTCTTCTAATCTTCTTCAAGAAAATGCGAAGTTTATCTATCTTTTATTGAAATGATGAACTTATTTTGTTGCTTCACCTGAAAAAAGGGGCTGAGCATGCATAGGTACAATAATGACTTGTAATCTTCATTGTTCAAATGCTAGCTGAATTGAAAATGACAGAAGAAGACCAGGGGAGTCATTTTGATGATCTTGAAGAACAAGATCCCATCAAGGTGTCAGTAACTTTCAAGCCACAAGAGCAAGACGTCGAAGATAGACAAGGCAACTTGAACCGGGCTTGCGATAAGGACAAGCCTATCTTACGGGACCCCCACACGAATGGAGATGAGTGTAAGCACTCCGAGGGTGAGGAACCTAGCCTGCCTGTCAACCCGCCTGTTACACCTATTCCGTTGTATCTGGACGCAGATAATGCTAAAAGCGAAAGGGATACAACTGAAAAACAAGAAGTGTTGAAAGTAAGCACGAAAAAAAATTAAAATATTTAAAAAGAAACCTTTGAAGGCATTCCAATTCAGCAAGCATCATCGACTTCGGCCGAGGCGCGAAATTTTCATTCAAGCACAATTTGGTCGGTAGATGAGCGAAAAATTCGTTTGAAACGTCCTGTACAATACGCCAAAAGATACGGATAACATTAACACATAAGCCATTAATACAATAATAAAATGTTGCTTCAGAGAATTGATCATCGCAAATTGCTTCGCGCAAATCGATTTGATATAATTCAAAATTATCTTTAGATTTGCCTCACTGATTGTAGAGACGTTTTGTAAGTGAAGATTTGAAGAGCGTCGAAACAAAAAATAATGGGGCAGAAACAGATTATTTACATTTGGACGAGTCAATAAGGATAGAAGATTTGTAAAATTCTGCTTCATGTGCTATTGACTGAACTGAGCAAAGCTAAGCTCAGTTTTTGAATACTCGTGTGAAAAAACAAAATCCTGAATAAAACCACATGACGAAATGATGAACGAATCCTGAACACATCGCATAATGTCTGAGTGGACAACTAGTATAATTTTGACTTTGAATATTTTGTGTCCCAGATCACGCGTTTGCTTATCTTGGAAAAACACTCTTTTATTTCTTCTTTCTCCAGGGGTGGAAGGGTTACAGTAACAACATCTATATTCGGCCGATCATAGTTAACCACGCCTCCTGCGGAGACTGTCAGTGTCCAGCTAATCAAAAAACACAGCGCAGACTCACAAGCGAGGATCTACGAAAACAAATGCGTCTCCGAGAGGCAAACAACTGGATCAGGAAACACAACGAGAGAATCCAGAGCACTGGAACGTTACGATCAAAGACTCATTCACATGAACTACACAGACAACAGGAAGCAAAGCAGATTCATAACAAACCAAACAACGACGGCAATACAAAATATAAACAAGAAAAGAAAAAAATCCATAAAGGATTTGTTTGCAGGACATGGGCTTCAAATTTCCTGTCAAGTGATGCTCAGAAGAGCGAGGATGACGAGTTCACTCCGTTCTATGTCCGAAGATATGTGGATAAATCAAAATCGGCCCCTCCTGGTAAAGTGAGACGGAATACTCCGCTTGTACAAAAACACAGAACATCCTCAGAAGTTTTATTAACCCAGAGGGAAGCGCATGATCTGTCGTCAGAAAAGTCTTCCCAGGTATTGAGTGATATTGAAGTTCAACTGAAAGAGAAACTCTCCCACGATGAGTCTTATAACAGGAGAAATAATGAAAAGCCTAACTCTAACATTTCCCACGCCCTAATGTGCTCTTGTGGACAGATTATACATCACGATAACGACAAGCGCGTTCCTGGAGGAGGTTTTCAAGCCCCGAGGCCCGTTGGAGTTGAGAGAACGCAGAATTCTAAATTAAAGTTTTCTATTGTTCTTCCAATAAAGCAGTTTCCTCCTATTAATCCACTTGAGGAACTGAAGAAACCAAATTTTCCAGCAAGGAAAAAGCTAGGGGTCTCACTAAATCGCAGACCACACACAGTAGATACAGCGCTTCTGTCGAGAGGAGTCATTTTGGTAAATGGCCATCATAATTTACCAAATTTTATAGGTTCAGACAAAGCTTTTAATAGACAGCGTGATGGTCAAATCACCTCTAAATCTTCTTTTGAAAATCTAAGCAGGGAGAAACAATTATTTGCTAGAGGTCGGCAGAAGCATGAACATGGGCAAGGCAAAAGATTCGATGAATCTATTGGGCCATCCCATCAATGTGTCTTAAATAAAGACCCAAACAATCGAGAAAAATGCGGTCGAAGGTGTTCTACGGGTGATTCACGAAGAGCGCCGAGGTCTCTCGACGAAAATGGGAACAGTTTATATCGGAACAGTGCGGATAGTTTAAAAGGACAGCGGCGTTGCGTGAGAACACCGTTACACTCATTCAATAGCGAAGATGACGTCCCCAAAACTGAGTCAAATGAAACTGGTCTCGGGAGTGAAATTGAATATTCTGTCGATGGTTTGGCAAAACTGGATGTTTATCTTCAACCCAGAGACGTGTGTTTCAATGATAATTAACAAACTCTTATCTTAGCTTTTCCAAAACTTGTTTGTGCGCTAATTAAACGTTTTTGAATGCACTTGGATTGCGTTGTAATTTAGTGTTATGAACACTTTTCGATAACGGCACCTTCTCGAGTTTGAATACCAAGTAGACCCCAGGAATGCAAATAGGATAATGTTACTTCAGAGTTTCTCCGGTTTCACGTACTAAAAGAAACTTATAAGCTTAGTGTGGTTAAGTAGAATAAAATAAATGAAAAAATATTTTTCATTTTCTGGGCCGTTTATTTACTGTTGTGACTTAACTTTATGTCAAAGGTACATTTTTTGCATCAACCAAAGCACATAATTAAAATTGTCTTTAAAATGATGCCAGTAGGGCAGTATGTTAATAAGTGAACCAGTCACACAGTTTTCCCTGACATTAGGCACATGAAGATCATTTACATTATTTACTTAATAGATGCGCATCCCATCCGGGATAAGGGGATTGGTAATACCCCCAGTCGCTTCATGCTACAGAAACTCGGGTAAGCTCCAGCCGGATGGCCCTCTTGGTTTGAGCGTCGACTGTTACCTTTTTTTATCTTACACTAGTTAGAAATCATTTTAAGTGGTGTTATCATGGTTACGTAATTTTACACAAATATCAATTCGTTGTAGACAGAACTGTGATCGTAAACAAAGTCTTTAAGATGATCAGCCTTTCTCGCGTTACTGAGCTCACAAAGGCGAGTTGGTGCGTGGAAATTAAATGAGTAACACAAGCTGTGTTTGATGCACATGAACGCGCATTCCAGATCGTCTGCTGTCACGCGTGACACTACAGTATGCTGAAGGAGTGAGTGTTGCGTGATCACCGGGTGGATGATTGCGTTCGAGGTTCTGGCAGCTTGAAGGTAAAACAGCAAAAATACAATTTGAGTGAAAGGAGAAAACATAATGATTGACTTAGTTTTCTTTATTGATGAAATGTAGAATTAATCTGTCATGAGCGCTCGTCAACCAAGGTCTCCCTAACTTAGTCATTTGCCCTCAGGTGGCAATTACACGAGCACCTCGTCAATCAACGAAGGATTATGGGTAATTCCACGTCAGAGACTCAGAGTCTTTTATTCATCTCAGAAACCCTCACGAGAATTCGCAACTTTTCGTAATCATATTTTTCCACGCAAACATTTTTGAATGATAAGAAGCAGTAAAAAAACAGTTAGTCTGGGTATTGGCAAAGGAAATTCTTTTTCTCCTTAATTATTCTACAATGTTTTTCCAGTATGGATACACTACCAGCCAATTTTTCAATAGACGCTCTCGCATTTGAGACAAAAAATTTATCATTTGCGCTCCTCTGAATGCTAAAAGTTTTTTTGGTATCGATTACGTAACCATCCAATCAATTATTTCAGTTAGGCGGTAAATTTGATTTGTTCAAAAGAAAAAAAGAGAATACAACGCATATCTTCACCAACAGGAATGAGGGTCTAGGGACGTGGAGGGGTGACTGACCTGCACAAAGAGCCAATGCAATGTCTGAAGCCTTATCCGAGGGTACCATCTGCCTAACTGAGGAGAAGAGAAACACATATGGCTCCATAGAAACCATAGCTTTTAATTCGGTCATTTTGATCCCGGAGCCAATTCCCAATGCAAAGATCACTATTCCGTCGTCCTTTAAGTATTGAGCTTGCTGCCTTGTTTTTAGCTCACCTAGGAAAAACGTTGCGAATGAATAGAAACAAAACTAATCATGAAATACGTTCTCATATAGCCGTACTAGTTTATCTATAATTAACTGTTCTTGGCTGTGCACAGAATAAGGAAGATGGTAAATTTTGATAGCAGTCGTCGAATGGACAAATATGTTGCTCGTGTTGTCACAAGCGTGGGGCAAATAACTCAGTTAAGGGAAGGAGAGGGGGGTCCATTAGTTTCCAGATCCTCATAAGGTTCTGTAACATTCTTATGATGTCCACTTATGGCAGTCAATTGGCAGTCAATTTTGTTATTGTCGACGTCCCCCTTTGTACTCTATTGGTTACGACTGACCCCCCCTCCGGCCTCCACGAAAAGCAGTTTTTATTTTTGAAATATTTTTATTACTGTTATTGTAGTCAGGAAGATAGTCTGGTATCTTGATTGACTGATGGAAATACCGTGTATTAATAAATTTATCGAATCGTATTTTATCGTGAAAGCATTTGATCTCACCAAAATCCTAATTAACTATGCTACAGAAACTCGGATAAGCTTAAGTATTATTGACTGGCCCTTGGTAATGGCCCAACTGACGAGTTTCCTTAGCTCAATGGTAGAACATAGGTGCAAAAGTGATTCTGAAGTTCAAAGTGGATTTCTCACGTGGGGCCACGAGATTCTAGTCTCTTGGTGGGACTCACATTTTTACTCTGCCCATCATTCGTTGCAAAACGAATAACATAATTCTCTTGCTTATTTATTTTCTCACCACTGTTGCTCTTTCCATCAGTAATCACTAATAGAATGTGTGGCACATTCGTCCTCATTCCACCCTGAGCAGAGAACAAATCCATATGGGTTTTGTTGAGGCCACGGTCAATGTATGTAAGGTCGTTTTGATAGGTAATGTTAAGAACAGACGGTTTTATTGCATCCGCAGTTTGCTTGGATGTGAATCTTATCTCTGTTTGCGCCTGGGTACTAAAACTTACCACACCCACATGTGTGTCTGATGATTAAAGAAGGAAGAAATATATTTAGGAGTTTGTTGCTTTCCTAAAAAGGTGTTAAAAATTAATTACATAATGAAAGAAACTTGAAAAAAAGAAAAAACAGTTTGTTAGATGGTAAAGAAACACAGATGAAGTATTGATAAACCAAAGCGGAAAGACAAATGTAGAGGATGATTAAGATTTACACAAATCCCAAAAGACATTAAACTCTTTTACTGCATTTTTCTCTACAATGCACAAACCATGGCGTGGCCCTAATATCTCAGCACTATATAGTCTAAATAGTCTTCTCGCCCTAATCTTCTCGAGAGGCGCCTAGGGGGGATTAAGGCGAGGAGACTATGAGCTATCTTTTTGGTTGTGGAGTCGTAGCAGGTCGAGGTCAGGTCAACAATGCAATAACCAGACTGGTGAGGTCCTAAACAGTTTAAATAAAGTTTTTAAGTAACTAGCTGAAATAATATTTGCTTACCTTTCGGAGATATGTGAAAATGATCAATGACTTCGTTGATAAATCTTTTCATGTCCAAGTAATTGTTTTCTCCAATGCTGCCAGATGAGTCAAGAAGGAACGCCAAATCCATTGCAAAAGGGCAAACTGAGTGAAACAAAAATGTAAGATAAAATTTCCAGCTAAAACGACGACAACAGAAACAGTAGCAGCTGCTGCAACAACGGCAGCTTTACAATCTTTGCCATCATTTCTATTTCCATAGGGGAAAAAAAAGCAAAAAACTAGTTAAGCTGCGAATTTTGGACACCTGCCTTACTCTAGGAGCAATTGACAGATCGGGGCTTCAGGAGGTAGAAAGTTCTAGAGACATGAATTGCAAAGTTCATGGAGATATGAGTCATATAGAGATATGAGTCATTTTTTTTAACGGTACTTTCTAGGTGCGACCCTGTGCAAACTCGGCTCTATTTTACGTTGCCCTAATTGACACACGAAAAGTTGAATACCATGGATAAGAAAAAAGAAATATGGGAAAATAATTAATAAACCCGTTTCATTGTAGGCTACAACAATTATTTTTTTATATTATTCATTGTCTGTCTTGTCTGATTAGAATATAGCCACAATTTGTCTGCGGGCAGCTCGGTTCTCTTACATAACTTATCTAATAGGGAAAGTTTGTAAATTCTTATGTATTAATTGGCGTTATTTGGTAAACTTTATTTTAATCTTGAACTAAAAAAAATCTAATGATAAAACAAATAATGGCGCATGATTATCTATTTCCGACAAGTTCCAAAGAGTAGACGGAAGTTTTTAGACTTCCTCCGCGTTGTCCTCTCATGCAAATTTTTAGGTTTCTTAGCGAGGGAACGTGATGCGTACGGAAGAAAAATGCTTTTAAAACGATGAGCTGATTAGCAAGCTGATTCTGAATAAGTTCAAGAATTAAATGATTCATCCCACCTGCAGCATGTGTGGTTAGAAATGACACCTGCAGCTGCAAGAGAAGGGGAAGACAAAATTAGCTTATTCACGCAGTTTTTCCGTATTTAAACATTCTCCCCAAGCTGAAATCGGGGATGAGAGAGCCACGAAAAATGTATTAAATTCGATAAATTAGTTTGTTTGACCAGTGTTCTGCAGTGCAGTAACTAAATACAGCTCAGTAATAAATGCTCTCTTCTTACCACACCGTACATTTAAAAACATTGTTTACCGCCCGGCGAGAAGGCAGGCGGCTTCTTCAGTGATCATAATAAACGATGTTCATAACTGTCCGTTGGTCAGTGGATTGATCCCCGCACTGAACTTTAAACTAGGTCTCCCAATACTTATTCTGGTCCGAAACCATTCTTAATTTTCTTTAAAAAAAAAGCCATGATAGTTTTCAATGGAAAAAGATGTTTAGACAGTACTCGACATTACGCGACTCTGAGCATTAGTCACACTGCTTTGGCTTCAACTTGAAGCAGAGCAAAAAGGGAGAAAATATTGACAATCAGTTTGCATTTTCATCAATCATCAGCTTGAGTAAGTACCATGATTTTTCCCTTCACTAATTGTGTTAAAGAAAAATTCAATTACTTCTCTCTGTACTGACCTGCAAAAGGAAGACTGCCTTTTTCACGATCATGTTTGGTTCTCGTTCTTGCTTTTCAACGAATTTATCAATGTTGACGAGTTTCTTGTAAAATTAAATAAACACATTAGTGGTTAGCCTTTGTGCCGGATCATTGCAGCGCAATACAGCTGTCTCGAACCAAGGAAACCAAGAAAGGCGCTTTAAAAGGTGTGAATTAAAAATTCTATGTTTGTCCTCGCAAATGGGCACCTATCAATTTCACATGCGACAGTTCATTTAGCTTTCTATGACGTATCAAGTTAGCCCCTCAATCGGTTTCTTGGAGTCGAGGCTGTTATGCAATGTGAATCAAGATGGCGGTCGCCCTGTCCAGAGGTTTGTTGTTTTTGTTGGTTGTTTGCTTAAAAAAACTGATTGATTTTGGCTCTAATTCTAACATGATTATATTTTTAAAACGCTTAGTTATTTTTCCACCCTTTTTTGTTTCATTTTGAGCGGTAAATATGGCATTTTGACGAATTATTTGACGTCGTCTGATTTTTAACGTAAACAGCCATGATTACGTATTGCGTTCATATTGATTGCTTTACTTAGAAGATGCACGGTTTACAGGTACACATGCTAGGTGATCTATTTTCTTTTAGGAGCATAATTGTATGTAATTTTATTATCCATTTCTGGTATGGGATAATTCTAATTATCTAAATTTGATGGTGATTTTATGCCTACTTGTATAAAACGTGTACTGTTCTTTAGATAAAGGCGCTTGACTTTTGAATTATACACTGTAAACAGTACTCCACACGCCATCCCAGCGGTAGCTGATGTAGGATGGTACTGATTGAAATTTTTGGTAAATGAACCGTTTATCTTGAATTTTAAGGGTTTAAAGCTCAAAGGACACCAGATTGTTTTCAGGAACGTGTGTATTATTGTTCTTACACTGTTGCAATCTCAGTTGTATAAGTTTATATGTCTCAGTGGAGTAATTATATGAGCAGACAGTTAGTACTCTTTGTAGCCAAAAATCTTCATTTACACATATCTACATGATGAAAAAAAATGTTGTCATTAGATTATCTCAGTGTTATCTTAACACTCTCCATTTCTGAGGGAAAATATGCAACATTGCAACATTTGTATCTGTCTCTTTGACTCCTGTTTTTTTTTGTCAGGTCGCAATGGTTTGCCTGCTCTCAGCCATGGATTCTTCAACAGTGTGATGCTTTGGAGGGCAGGACCTCAGGGGTTAGTGATATTAAAAAGATACCTAGAAATTTCATTGACAGAACAGAGTTACAATTAAAAGTGCACTTTGCACAAAATGGTGCATAAAATGTTCTCTTGTCTTTTTTCTAATAAAGATTGCAAGAGTCTTATGTCAGGTGGAAAAACTATAATAGCCATGTTATCAGTGGTCATTTACTGGAAATTTCCATAAGTTTCTACTGACAACTTAAGTTGTAAAATAGTGAGAAATGTTTGGCTGATACATTACATCTAAAGAATTATTTAGAATGGGATAAGAATTATTTAGAATGGGATAATAACTGTTGTATTTTGTGTGGAGATTTTTGAGGTGGACTGTACTTTTTATTGGTCTAAACATTTGCTCTCTCTGACAAACTTTCAAAAGTGCAATTGTTTCTCTTTCCTTTGAAATACCTGAAGTTCAGTTGGATGCAAAGATCTCATAAAACCTCAATATACTAGTAGGTAATGTCTCTTGTTTGTTTTGGTTTGGACTTTCTTGAAAATGGTTTTTTTTTCTCATTTTTCTCTAGACTTATAGCTGCAAACAAAAACCAGAGTATAACCACTGGCTTTTCTGCCAAGCCTAAAGGAAAAATTGACAATGCTGCAGGTAATTACAATGTATGTTACTTAATGTGTGGTTAAATTAGTGTGTTCTCTCGTTCAGCTTTATCAAAATAAAATACATGTATTTCACCTTTGTTCCTTTTCCAACATTTAGTTTAATGGAAATGAGCCAAATGTTTTAAACACAAGGTTTGTGTTTGTTAGAGCAACTAAATGTAAGCAGATTTGGTACTAGAATTGACACAACACCCGAAGCCTTGTGTCTTGATTATAACAAGGTATGCTTTATTTGAGATGCTTAATACCTTATTTTTTCCTTCACTATAACCTTTCTGCAGAATTTGTCATAGCCACAATTGATGATATAGTGAACTGGGCTCGCAGGGTAAGATTGAGTTAAAATAATGATTTCTACAGTTACATGTACATGTATTGTGAACGCAGTGATGAGAATATGTTTCTTTATCTTTTCGCTGTCTTAAGGTGTTTATTGGTATCTTTGTAACAGAAAATTGTAGTATGTATATGGTTACACCACCACTGTAGTTTGATATGGTACTATAGACTGTACAAAAATTTACAACTTTGGATTTGTTTTTAACAGCTACATGTATATACACTTTGCTTTGAATATTACATTAATATCCTTTCTTTTGCTTTCAGGGCTCCTTGTGGCCAATGACATTTGGTCTTGCCTGTTGTGCCGTGGAAATGATGCACTTTGCTGCACCCAGGTACAAAAAGAGAAGATTGTGTTTTATATTATTTATCTTTTGATAAAGACAGTAGTAGTGATAATTGACTCTGAGACCTTTTTGTACTTTTCTGTAGGTATGACATGGATCGGTTTGGTGTTGTGTTCAGAGCAAGCCCTGTAAGTATACATATAACAATCACTGATATGATGTGCTACCATTTTAATAGTCTTCTACACTGAACAATTTGTTTTAATTGACATATATTATAACTTCTGCCATACATTGTTGACTGTTGTTTTTTAAGTTATGAAATACTTGTAAATGGTATTGGAGTTAGGTCATTCAAATTACTGGTAAGTTAATATTTCATAGTATGACTTCAGAGTGGTGAAAAACTTGATAGAAAGTTAGTCAACATTTTGGAAGGCTCAACCAAAGAATACTCATCAGAACTACATGTACATCACATATGGGTCAAGTATAAATTTATCAGCACATTTCTCAACCCTTAGCACATTTTTCAACCCTTAGTTCTTGGAAACAATCACTTTTATTTGTAGCTGGAATTTATGTTAAAGGCTGTGTTGCTGCAATCTTTTTTTGTTCATGTGGGGCAACTGATAAATCAAAATAGTTGGGTATTACTGAGACACCTAAGAGTGATCTACAGTTGTACACGTAACTCATTGGTGTTTAACAATTGGTTCATATGTCAGCGCGCGTTCATCGAGCTATGAAGCACGTGGGAAGTTTGGAGAGCACAAAAGATGCGTAAGAGTTGCTTGAGGCGTAGCCAAGAGCAACTCCAGCTTCTTGAGTGCTCTCCAAACTTCGTAAGTGCTTCATATCTCAATGAATGTACAGCTGATGTATGAACCAATTGTTTTATAACATTTTCAACCTGATGGAAAATTTTTTTTCTTGAGAAATTTGTTTGCTGATGTCATGAGCGTGCACAATAGGAATATGAAGCGTGCGCATGTGATTTAATTTGATTAGACAAATTTACTAGCTATGTTATAAATATTCTTGCATCATGCTTACCATTTTCCAAACTGTTGCTTTGGGCAGCGTCAAGCAGATGTGATGATTGTTGCTGGAACTCTGACAAATAAAATGGCTCCTGCTCTGAGAAAGGTACTTGTAGATGCAATGGTCCAGGTGGTGAAAAAATGTTTTGACTTTTTTTGTCATTTAGAATCTTTAAGAATACATGCATACCCATGAAATGTATACGCTTTTCAATATCTAAGTGACAGTTGCATGGTAGTTGTTACAAACTTAGACAAGTAATTTGCACAACTTATTACAGCGCCAATTACTGTAGAACAGTCAAAGTGCTGGATTAGTCAAGTTTTGTTGTAGTAAACTTCAAGAAATTGATTCTCTGTAGATGTTTCCAAGCCAAGTGGAGAGTATATGCTGCGATAACATAAATCCCAGATGTTAACATAGATCAGTGATTCATCCACTACTTGATCCTTGTTTCAGGTCTATGACCAGATGCCTGAACCTCGCTGGGTTATCTCAATGGGAAGGTATGATGTGACATTTTTTTGTGGTGTGAATGGCTTTTGTGTTACTGTATAATTTTCTGGTGAGTCGTTAAAACGGCAATATTAACAAGGAGTTACTGTAGCATACTAAGTTGTTAGTTGAGAGGGCCAGATTTTAGCCCTGGCAGGGTCATTGTTTTGTGACCTTGTGCAAGATTCTTTGTTGAGCT